CACCCTTTTCAACAAATGGTTCTGGGATAATTGGCTAGCCACATGTAGGAGAATGAAACTGGATCCTCATCTCTCACCTTAAACAAAAATCAACTCAAGATGGATTAAAGACTTAAATCTAAGACCTGAAACTGTAAAAATTCTAGAAGATAACATTGGAACAACCCTTATAGACATTGGCTTAGGCAAGAATTTCATGACTAAGAAGAACCCAAAAGCAAATGCAATTGAAAACAAAGATAAATAGCTGGGATCTAATTAAACTAAAGGGCTTTTGTACAGCAAAGGAACAGTCAGCAGAGTAAACAGACAACTCACAGAGTGGGAGAAAATCTTCACAATCTATATATCTGACAAAGGCCTCATATCCAGAATCTACAACAAACTCAAACAAATCAGCAAGAAAAGAACAAACAATCCCATCAAAAAGTGGGCTAAGGACCAGAATAGACAATTCTCAATAGAAGATATACAAATGGCCAACAAACATATACATATAGACAAATTCTCAAAAGAAGATGTACAAATGGCCAACAAACATATGAAAAAGTGCTCAACATTACTAATGATCAGGGAAATGCAAACCAAAACCACAACATGATACCACCTTACTCCTGCAAGAATGGCCATTATCAAAAAATCAAAAAACAGTAGATGTTGGCATGGATGCAGTGAACAGGGAACACTTCTACACTGCTGGTAGGAATGTAAACTAGCACAACCAGTATGGAAATCAGTGTGGAGATTGCTTAAAGAGCTAAAAGTAGGACTACCATTTCATCCAGCAATCCTACTACTGATATACACACACACACACACACACACACACGTATATATATACACACACACATATATACATATATACATATATACATATATACATATATGTATATATGATGGAATACTACTTATCCTTGAAAAGGAATGAATTAATGGCATTTGCAGCAACCTGGATGAGATTGGAGGCTATTATTCTAAGTGAAGTAATTCAGGAATGGGAAACCAAATATTGTATGTTCTGACTCATAATTGGAAGCTATGCTATGAGGATGTAAAGCATAAGGATGACACAGTGGACTTTGGGGACTCAGGTGGAAAGGGTGGCAAGGAGCTGAGGGCTGAAAGACAAATTGGGTACAGTGTATACTGCTTGGGTGATGGGTGCAACAAAATGTCACAAATCATCACTAAGAAACTTACTCATGTAACCAAACACCACCTGTTCCCCAACAACCTGCGGAAATAACATTTTAAAAAAAAAAAAAAAAGTTAAAATATTACTTCTGTCCCAGGCATGGTGTCTCACGCCTGTAATCCCAGCACTTAGGGGAGGCCAAGGCAGGTGAATTGCTTGAGGTCAGGAGTTTAAGACCAGCCTGGCCAACATGGTGAAACCCCATCTCTACTAAAAATACAAAAATTAGCCAGTCATGGTGGTTTGCACCTGCTATCCCAGCTACTTGGGAGGCTAAGTCAGGAGAATCACTTGAACCAGCGAGGTGGCAGTTGCAGTAAGCTGAGATCGTTCCATTGCACTCCAGCCTGGGTGACAGAGCCAGACTCCATCTCAAAAAACAAACAAACAAAACTTCTTAGTCTTTTTAAAGTATAAACTATTTTTAGTAGTCTAGGATAAATCAGTTTCTGAAATTATGTAGACTACTAGATGCGTTTATTATTTTATTCATCAAGATACACTATGGAAGATTGCCTTTTCATTTTATCTAATTCATATTGCAGTTCTCCTGGAACCATGTGAACATATCATTTAAAGTTTTGCATTTCAAGAGTTAATCCTTCCCATGTTGGTTAAATGCTTATAATATATTCATTGAGTTAGCTAATGATTTGGGATTTTTTTTCTCATATTTAGAAAAACAGAAAAGATAATGAGCCAAGATTTATTAAGAGTTTTCTGTGTCAGGAATTAAGCTAAACACTTTATGTATCTTATTCTTTATTTTGAAAATTTATATACTCTAAGCATACATCAAAATATAGAAGAGAAAACTAATACCTGTGTACCTACCACCCAATTGTGTCAGTTCTTAACTTTTTGCCCTGTTTGTTTCAGGTTTTGTTATGTTTTATGTTTTTTTTTTTGTTAAGAAATTAAATATCGCAGATATAACTGAATCTCTGTGTGCTCTCCTTTCCTCACCTGTTTCCTTCTATCCCTTCCCAGTGGTAATTACTATCCTGAACTTAGTGTTTTTCAATACTATTCATGCTTTAATACTTTATATGATTATGCCTGAAATTTTTTTATAGTGCCATTTGTCACATTTTTAAACTAAGTGATGATATGATGCTGTATGTATCCTGCAAAAGCTATATGTGCTCAACATTATTTTTAATATTTGATATATATTTCATCAGTTTATGTACTGTAACTATTGTCTACTACATTCCATTGTATTACTATACCAAAATGTATCCATTCTCTTGACAAAGGAATTTAGATTTTGTCTAATTCTTTAATTTTGCGATAATGTTTCAGTACAGTCTTGAACATGTCTCCATATATACATCTGAGAGTTTTTTTAGTATGTCTACCTAAAAGTGAAGTTATCTCATCTTAAGATTTACTAGAATTGCTAGAAGTGTTTGCAATAATTTTCATTCTAATTCATGGTCTATAAGAGTGTTCATTATGAAACAACCTGTTAACATTTGGTAGTAATGTCAAATATTTTGTTTTGTCAGTTTGACTTATGTGAAATAACATCTCACTTTTGGTTTTATTTGTATTTCTCTAACTAGTAGTGAGATTATTCTTGCTTTTATTTGTTATTGATCTCAGATTTTCTCTGTTATATTTTTTCTAATAGTACCCTTTGGTCATTAAAACATAGTAAATTTTAAATTGTGGGCTTTCATTTATCTGGTTTATGTGTTTTCTAATAGAAACATTTTAACTTTTAATATAGTTAAATGTATATGTTTTTCTATTGTTACTTTTATTACTGTGTCTTAAGAAGTTCCTCACTAGCATATATGAGCTTTTCACATTTAAGTCTTTATTCAGTCTGGAATTTATTATTGTGGATTGTTTAGGACAGGGCTCTGTTTTATTTCTCTATATAAATAACCAGTGCTTCCGGCGTTTATTATTTGATGCTTTCCCTAGTGATTTATCTTTATCAAGTCTGCATATATGCATAGCTTGTTCTGTGTCTGGGCACCCTACTTTTGTCTGTTGCTGTTTTGTGTTTCCCTCCCAATATAATGTAGTTTAATCACTACAACTGGAAAGAAAATAAATTGTCAGGAAACTGCTAATTTAGGATTCACCCTTGAAATATTTTCATTTTCTGTGAGTCAAACTTAAACTCAGTACACTCTTGCAAGATATTGGTGCTTTGAGCCTTTTATTTATTTCCTGATTATAATACATTTATATAAATTACAATACATTTATTTATTGTAATTTAGAGTTTAGCAAACTATAGCCCACTGGCCAAATCCCATGTGCTATGTGTTTTGTTAGATAGAGATTTATTGGAACACAGCTATACTCATTTGTTTATATATTGTCTATGACTCCATTTGTGCTAGAGCAACAGGCTTGAATAGTTGGAACAGAAACCATGTTATTTGCAAAGTCAAATATTTATGGCCAGGCCCTTTACAGAAAAGCTTTGCCAACTCTTATTCCAACTCAATTTTATTATGAACATTAATTATATTAAATGTGAATAAGTTAAACATTCCAAGTACTTAAAGTGCACACACATACACACACACGAAGCCAACTATGTGAACAATACGGTTGAAAATGAAAAGGATAGAAAAAGTTACACCATCAAAATATTAACTAAAAGAAAGCAAACATACGCCTAGTAATATGAAATGAAATAGGTTTAACTAAGAAATATTACTATAGATAAATAAGTGAAGGAGTTAAATCCGTGGTAAATTTTAATACTTCTATACCCAACTTGAAGCTTCAAAATGTACAAAAGAAAAAAGTGACAAAACTAAAAGTGAAAAGGAAACAAATATACACTTTTAACGGGGTATTCTTTCACCATGGAGAATAAGCAAGAATAAACAAAGAAAAAAATAAAAGGTCTAAACAGTACAATTGACAAAATTCCCATAAATGACTTATGTAGAACACTGTACTCAACAAAAATAGAGTACATGTTCTTTTACAGTGCATATGGAGCAGTTACCAAAATTGACCATATGCTGAGTCATACATTTCAACAAATTTCAAGGGTTTCAAATTGCTTATAATTTGTTTTCTGACCACAGTGGCATTTAGCTATAAAGCAACAACAGAAAGTTAACCAGAAAATCCTATGTTGCTTTGAAATTTAACAGTACGCTTCTAATGGCTTACTAGTCAAAGGAAATTTCTAAATTAAGCTAGAAAATAGTTTGAACTTAGAATACTAAAAATTAGACACAAAAATTGTAGGATGGACATCTAATTTCAGGAATATAGTGTAAATGTACTTTTCCTTATTCCTCTCACTGTGTACATCTAAAAGCATTGAACATTATATGTGAAACATACAATGCTGAAACCTAGAAAGAAGGCAAGCAGACTATAATCTCAATGAAAATCTCAAAACTTATACAAAAATTAACTCAAAACCGCTCATAGAATTAAATTGAAGATGTAAATCTATGAAATTTTTGAGGGTCAGTTGTGGATACTCTTCAGAATCTAGAGCTAGAAAAATAATTTTTGATATCACAAGCATGGTCCATAAAAGGAAAAAGCAAGGTACATAAATTGAAAATTTGAACTTTACTGATGTTAAAAACTTTGACTCTGTTACAGGAGGATGAATAAACATACCACAGACTGACAGAAAAATTTGCAAACCATATATGTGACTGGTTATTACTATCTTAAATTTATATAGAACTCTTAAAATTCAACAGTTTAAAAGACAAGAAAAAACAAAACCAGCTATTCAATTAGAAAGTAGGTAAAAGAGAGCTAGATAAAAGAATAAGTGTTATCTACTGTCATCTCCCTACAGTGCACCGATTTTGACAACCACCCTTTCTAGCAGTTTAAAGGCTAGAGAAGTTCCAGAATACTATTGGAAAATAGACACATTGAAGAATGTAAGAACAATTTCAGTTCACCTGCATCACTCCTGCCCCAAGATGGCACAGCTCGGTTCCAAGAGAGACTCCCGCTACCTGTGATTCTTCCCACAGAGGGAAGTGAGAGCATAGTGAGTAAGCTCCTGGCTTTTCTACCTGTGCAGGACACTCCAAAAGACCCATCTTTTCCTTACCTCACTCAGAATAATGGGGTCAGCCTGGCTAAGTGTCTAGGAGAGAGTAGGAGCAGGGAAAACAGGCAGGGACTCACAGTCAGGGCTTAAAACCCAGGAAGGGACTGTGTATCCTACTAACCACTTTGCAGACTCTTTCAGCAGACCCACTCATATGCTGCTTGGGAGACCTAACCTGTGTGGTGTACCACCACACCAGCTGGCCCACAGGTGATTCCAGCACTTCATATGCATTACCGCCCTCCATCCCCATGGTTGGCTGTCATGTGCACCCCCTAGATGGGGAATGCAGGCACAGTCAGCTGGCACAACTCTTTGGGATTTAAAGAATGCATGCAAACTTGAGCATTTCAGGGCACTACCTCCCCCCACCAAAAAAAAACCATGGGATATTCTCAACACCCAGCCTAGTTTTATAGAATCCAAAGAAAGCATACAATCTTACGAATTCTCCCTAAAAAGTAATGGGTGAAGGTGTGGAGTGGGTACATCTACTGAAAATGTCTGAGAGAAGCTTCGTGAAGCTGTTTCATTCCCAAAGCCAGTCAGTAAAGACTAGAGGAGGTGACTGCTTCATATGTTAAGATGGCGACATAAGACTGATTCAGATGTTAAGATAACATAATACAGTTAATGAAGTGAAAAGTGCAATAGAGAGCTTTAGCATTATACTTGATCAGTTAGAAGAAAGAATCTGAACTTGAAAGCAGGCCATTTGAAATTATCCAGTCAGACAAGAAAAAAAAAAGATTGAAAAGTAATTAAGAAAGCTTAAGGTATTTATGAAACATTGTCAAAAGAAGTGATACACAGATTGTGAGAGTCTCAGAAGGAGGAAAGAGAAAAAAAGAAGCACAAAGCTTAAAGAAATAATATCTGAAAAGTCCCCAAATCTTGGAAGACATCTAGACATCAGACATAAGACCCAAGGGTTCCCAAACAGATTCACCCAAAGATGACTTTACTCAGGCACATTATAATCAAATTGTCAAAAATCAGAGACAGCTAATTCTACAATCAGCAAGAGAAAAGCACTTATAACATACAAAGGAACTTCCATAGGCAGTCAATGGATTTCTCAACAGTTACCTTACAGGTCAGGAGACAGTGGGATAATATATTCAAAGAACTGAAAGGAAAAAAAAAAGTCAACTAAGAATACTTTACTCAACAAGACTACCCTTCAGAAATGAAGGAGAGATAAAGATTTTCCCAGACAAACAAAAGCTGAGGGAGTTCATCACCATTAGACCCAATTTACAAAAGATGCTAAAGAGTTCATGAAGCTGAAGCAAAGTGATACTAATTAAAATATTGAAACACATGAAAGTATCAACTCATTGATAAAAGTATATTGTCAAGAATATTCTGACACTATAATGGTGGTGTATAAATCACTTTTAACTCTTCTACAAAAGTTTAAAGACAAAAAGTGACATCTGCAAGATAGCCAAGTAGAAGACTCTAGCAATTGTTCCCCTCACAAAGATAGCCAGAACAACAAATAACTTCATTTTAACAAAAATAACTGGGAGTGAGTGCCAGAGTGCATCAGAGGAGAAACAGAAACCCAAGTGGGTACAGAAACTCAAAATGGCCATATAGAAAAAGGAAGGAAATGACAGACTTCATTACACCAACCCCCAACTGGGAACAGCTAGGAACAAGGAGGAATTTCTCTCTACATGGAAAAGGTAAGGAAGAGGATCTCAGGAGCCTGCATCAACTCCTTGGACACCTACAGACCTTGCCACTGGGGTCCCCTGCAATCCTCAAAGTCACTAAGCTTATCTGAGGGAGCTACCTAGAGTCCACATGACCATACTGCCCCCAGAAAAGGAACCAACACTGTGCCCTGACCCCAGTGACTTACACAACTAGTGTGCTATGCATTGTGGAATTGAAACTGCAGCTGGAGTGTGCCTTGCTCTGGGGGCAAGTAGCCGTAGCTCCCCTTCATTACTGAGGCTAAGCTGCTTTTCAGCCACCCCATCTCAGTGGCTTAGCATCTCAAAACTGAGCTGCGAAAAACTGTTACACCCTTCCCTGTGGGCCAGGCAGAGGTGGAGCTACTCTACCTTCCTCTCACCCTATCCACGCCCCCACCACCAGACTGGACCCAAAGTGGTACCCTGTCTCCTAGGAAAACAGTACCTTAGCCACTCAGAGCAATCACATCTCCTTAATGCCTCAATTTGAAACAGCATCCCACATTCCAGCAAAATGGCGTCTAGGCCACTCAGAGTGCTCATTGCCCCCAAGATTGATCTGAAGTATGCTATCACCTTCTGGGAAATTGCTTCCCTGTCAGAGCTGAGTGCTTATCCCAAGGAAACATTAGTGACTAAGCTGAAACACCCCACCCTATAGGCTAGACATTTCATACCCGGCTTCCCTGGCGCTGGACTAGCTCTAGAGTCTGAGCTGCAGAGACACATTTCTTTCTAGGGAGTGGATTCATTGTTGTGCTGTTCTCTGATGCCCCCAAACTGAAAAGACAACTGTGCTTTGCCATTCTGGGAAACTTGCTGCTGCACACCTGCCCTCACAGAAAGTAAGATACAGATAAGCCTTACCATCCTAGGGTCTACAGTCATCACTACATGGTGTCTTATCCCCTGGTATCTGAGATGCCACTGAACTCTACTGGCTTAAGTTCCTTATTTCTAGGTGTACTCTGCTCCTCAGGCACAAATCTCCAGAGTACCTTTTCTTCTCAGGAGTTGGGCCAGTGCTGTGCCTTGCCCCCACCCAGGGATAGAACCACAAGTACAATGCAGCCCTTGGGCCCAAGTGGATAGGGGTGTCTTAGAGTCCAGATCCTGGCTCTGTGGGCACTCTACATCCAAACCTGCCACAAAGAGCAAACCTGAACCCCCAAACCCAGGTACCACAAAGGATCGATGAAACCCTGAGGTTATGATCTCACCCCACAGCCATTCTAAGATCCTGCACCAGGAACTCAGTGCCACTGCAGCTACTTGTAGGCCATGTCATACCTGGGACCAACAGGCATCCTGTTGATAAGTCTCCCTATTGTGGTGAAATTAAATATAGGAGTACCCCAAGAATACTTGACACTAAGGAAATTAACAATCCATACCACCACTGCCACAAACTTCTACAGCCTAGGCCACTAAGATACCCACAGTTATTGCTGACATTAGTTACAGCTGAAAAACCTTCATAGACCCAATTCCATTGCACTTATCTGAAAACAAAATTACCACGTCCTTCAACTGGTACACTAAAGCCCAACTGCAAGTGAAAGCATTTCTCTATTAAAGCTACTCTACAAGATATGGAAGAAGTGATTGTTCCAACAGGTGTATGGATCAATGCAGGGACACAAGAAACATGAAAAAGGAAGGAAATATGGCACCACCAAAGGAACATAAGTCTTTAGTAAAAGAACCCAATGAAAAGGAAATCAATGAATTTCCAGAAGAAGAATTCAATGTAATGATATTAAGGTAACTCAATGAAGTAAAAGATAATACAGTACATAATTCAATGAAATCAGACAAAGAATTCATAATATGAATGAGAAATTTAACAAAGAGATAGAAATCACTAAAATGAATCAAACAGTGTCTTCAACGGAAGAATTTGATTAATGAAAAGTACAGGACAGGCCTTCAAGAAGAGACTTGATCGAGCAGAACAACTGAACTTGAAGACAGGTTGTTTGAAATAATTTCTGCAAAAAAAAAAAAAAAAAGTCTACAGTACTTATGGAACACCATTAGGCAAACAAATATTCATATTATGGCTTTCCAGAAGGAGAAGAGAAGGGAAAAGCATAGAGAACCTGTTAATGAAATAATAGCTGAAAACTTTCCAAGGCTGTGGAGAGATATATATTACAGACAAATTTTCAAAAGTCAAAGACAAAGAGAAAATTCTAAAGCTAGCCAGTGGTAAGCAGCAAGTCACATATAAAGGAATCTGTAATTAGACTAACAGCATTTCTCTGCAGAAACCTTACAGGACAGGAGAGAATGGTCAAAGTACCAAAAGAAGAAAAACAGTATCAGCCAAGAATACTATACCCAGCAACACTCTTCTTCAGAAATGAGGGAGAAAGAGTTTTTCCCAGACAAATGCAAACTGAGAAAATTCATGTCCACTCTATTAGCCCTAGAGGAAATGCTCAAGAGAGTCCTATATCTGAAAGCAAAATACAATAATTGCTATCATGAAAGCACATAAAAATACAAAACTCACTGGTGGAGCAGATACACAAAGGAGAAATGGAAAAAGCATCAAACCTTATCACTAGAGAAAACTACCAAACCACAATAATAAGAGAAAAACAGGATAAAAAGGATATACAAAACCATCAGAAAACAAATAACAAAGTGACAGGAGTAAGTCCTTAACTGTCAGTAATAACCATGAATCTAAATGGATTCCATTTCCCACTTAAAAGATAAAGACACGCTGAATGGATAAAAAGCTGTGACCAAGAAACTCACTTCACCTTTAAACATACATATGGATGGAAAGTGAAGGCATGGAAAAAGATACCCAAATGGAAACAAAAATCAAACAAAGGTAGCTATTCTTATATGAGATAATACAAACGTTAAACCAAAAACTGGAAACAAACACGAAGTCATTACATAATGATGAATTCAATTATATCCTCCTTCCTGATCAATTGAGGAAGAGGATATAATCGTTTTAAATATATATACACCCAACACCAGAGCATACAGATACATAAAGGAAGACAAAGGGAGTCCTGTGATCAAGAATGAATATAACAATTGTAAATATTTGATCTAAAGTGGTAGATAGACTCTAATACAATAATAGGTGGGGGCATTAACACCCCACTCTCAGCATTGGACTGATCATCTAGACAGAAAAACAATAAACATTAGATTTAAACTATAGACCAAATGGATCTCGCATGCATTTATGTAAATTTT